TGATTTAATTGGTAGAAAATTGGGTTAGCCGGAACGAAACATTTTCTTAAATAATGAACTCGACCCGATCATAAAATATTTGAGTTGACTTGAATTAGGTCGTTCGAGATATTTATTTAAAATTTAATTTTTAATAAGGAAAAAAAATTCTACTAATTTATTTTCAAACATTAAATTATTCATACCATTTTTATTTGTTTGAACTCACTCAATCCAATAAGTTATAACCCAACTCAAACGGTAGACGTTGGAATGAGTTGATCAGATTTTTCACGTTACCAAGTTTTTTAAACACCCGTTTAGCAATATATTCGATAGTTATATTAAACTATTCATACAGTATAATTTCAGACCGTATATAAATTCGAGAAAGTCTTCTAGAATAAATTCGTATCTTTTTTCTATTTCAACACGCCAGCCTATAGCAACTTTATCAACTTTGATAAAATTGGGATATGAATAATTTGAGTTAACATGAGTATAGTTCAATTGATCAATTATATATGGATGATGAGAAGTGACGGGATGAATTAAAAAAATAAAATAAAATAATTTAATTTAAAATGATTAATAAGGACATATATGTCATTTTGGTAAGTTAAGAGATGGCAACGAGGGTATTATGGTCATTATGTAATTTTCACAAGAATCCAAAGAGATAGCCAACGAACCCCTCAACGGTCGGTGCAAATCTAACATTATAATAAGCAAAACGCAATTGCCCATATAATAAACTTAGTCTAAAGATTTGAATTGATTTTTTTTTTTTTTTTTAATTTGTTTTTATTGTCCAAAAAAATAAAAGTAAATTTATATCATTTTAATTATAAAAAAATTAATCACATATAAATAATTTTTCACAATCACGATGATTTCGAGTTAGAAATGGTTTTGACAGTAACAAAAAGACGATAATTCCAAACGTATCCTAAACAATGGGTTTAATATACGAACAAACGCTAAAGAAGCAACGATGTTAGTTAAACGTAATTAAGGAAATTTTCGGAAATGGGAAATGGAGGTATTTGGTAGAAGGTAGCTTGCAAAGACATTTAGAGAGTGGCATATTGTGTACCATAACAAACATCACCATACAAACATAGTGCCAAAAGGGTTGCTTTCAAGAACAAGAACACCCTCAAAATGGAGGGTTTTGCTTTGCTTTAAAGTGTCCCCAAAACCCTAACCATCTTTTTCTTTTATTTCTTCGACCTAACTCCTTTCATATACGATTGTTCTTCAGTGCAACAGATCGGAGATATGAGGATTTGAATCTCGAAACTCAAAAGAAGAAATATATGTCAATTACTGTTCAGTTAGACTATAATTTACGTAAAATTTATGAACTGCATCGTTATTTTCTGGGACGTTCCCAATTATTAGTTTTAAATTACAAAAAGATGTGCTAAGCAATAAATTTCTGGGAAAGGAAATTAAAAGGAATGCAGTAGTCATTTAAAAGCAATAAATGAATGAATAAGAGAAATTGTTTCATTTATAAATGGTTACTATGAAGAATAAATGAAAATGGATGGTTTCATGCACAACCCATCAATGAGCAAGTACGAGCCATAAGGGAGATTGATACCAATTTTCAATTGCTACATGGCCCCTTCAACAATTTACTACTCAATCTATGTGTCCCTCGACCTCTTTGAAAAAGTTAGCTGTACTTCTTTATCTTTTGAGTTGTTCTACTAGATCGGCCGTTCAAGAGCTTTGGTCTCTATCCAGACCCGATGGAAAAAAATGGGATCACTGTTTATGGACTCGTTGAGAATGATTCTGATCTAGTTTATGGCCTATTAGAAGTAGAAGGCACTCTTTTGGGATTGGGATCTTCACGGATAGAAAAAGATTGCAGTCAATTTGATAATGATCGAGTGACATTACTTCTTCGACCTGAACCCAGAAATCCCTTAGATATGATACAAAAGGGATCTTGTTCTATCGTTGATGAGAGATTTCTCTATGAACAATACATCAGATGATGCTTAAATTTACCCATAAAACCTATTTTGCAACTTCTAAGTTCAATCGGGTTTGAATCTCATTTTAGTTACTTTGATTTTGACAAATTAATGTAGTTCTGATTATGTGCACCAACATCTTAACCTAACCACGATTCAGAGATTAGATGGAAAAATAATATAGAAAGACCAACGTGATTATATTTAAATGTTTAGGAACTAACATTAAAGAAACTTGAAAGTTCAACGATTTAAACTCGTTCGAAAAGGTCGGATTCTAGGCTTATCATGAAGCTAATATAAGAAACTCAAAGAATGATGATGATGATGATCTCTTTATCTGAAAGATGAAGATTATTACACCCTTTTTTGGGTACACCAAAACCCACTAAAACGATATAACCTGAAATATGACACAAAAGGGAAGTAGATAGCAGATAGCAGCAGCAGCTGGCAAACCCCTAAAGAAAAGATATATCACCAAATTATGTTTGCCCTTTCCCTTTCCTTTTGGTACATCAAACTCCAATTATTCTTTGGACTTCCATTTGTCCATTAGAGGTGAGCTTGAAGCATTAGAATTAAGTTAGGACTCTGTGTTTTCAACTGCGTCTTGTCCCATTCAGGCGGTTACCTATGGAGTTTTCTTTACATTTTCCTCTCTCTCTCTCTCCTCTGTGTGGTCTCTTCTTCACGTCAAAGGTTGGATACACCATGAGAGAAGATCTTATTAATGCAGACATTTCAACGCATATAATCTTGTTTTTCCTCTTTGACCAAACAAGAAACTTCCTTTTTTTTTTTAAGAAGATAAGAAACATTAATATTAAAGATGCGGTTGCTAAGTTAAAGGTTAGAGGATATATCGTTAGTTCATTGGAAAGACAACATCTCCACTGATTAGGAAGTCTTTCGGTAGTCTCTTATGTTAAGTCAGGATCTAAACTTAATCATGCGTATAGTATAACGAAAACGGGGATGTCATTGTTTGGATGAAGTCCTTGAACATCGAACAAATGGGGTGAGAGCCTATGCATCTCAACGAGTTACATACTTTGATGGAAAGGTTGTCGAGAAAAGACTCGCTAGCGTTTTAAGATCTAGTTATCCTACCATGGATAGTGAATAGATAGGGTGTGTGAAAGCAAATCCATGCTGTGTTAGATCAAAATAACCTAAGATTCCTTAAGATCAGCAACTCTTTATTGGTCTGGATTCCATGACATGTGATAAAAAATTATTGTTTTTCCTTTGTTCTTTTACTAACACCAAGCTATTTTATGAACTTCAACCAGAACACTTGAAATCTCTTAGGACCTTTACAGATTCATTTGGACACTTGGAAGCCCAAAACTTACATCTACCCTTATCTAATTAATATGGCTAGTTATTGCTATAATTAAAGTCCCGTGACGATATCCACTTTATACATTTTTCTTTGCTTTACTTTATCGTGACCTTCATAACTGATAAAATGAAAAAGTGACATAAATCGCCTGTCTTACTGGTTAGCTTGTGGATCTAAAAAGATGATATGGACAACATATCTTTCTTTTTCATAGTCTTTTATACTTTGGCTAACTATTTTATCTGTGTTCTCGATTTATCTTCCTTCAAATTTATAACCTATTCAGTGTTAGAAATCATGACTCTCTAGAATGATATGATATTGTCCCCTCTAAGCATAAGCTCTCGTGGCTTTGCTTTGGGCTTTCCTAAAAGGGCTCATACCAATAAAGATGTATTCCTTACTTATAAACTTACGATCATTCGTGTGACTACCTCCCAACAATCTTTGACACTCAGAACTGTGTGGCGAGGAACTAGAGAAAGCTGGAAAAGGGGCCAACAGAAGATGATGAAGGGAAGGGACAGTGGAAGGTGGGCAGTGTGTGTGGAAATGGTCGGCCCTCATCTCATAATAAGTGTATAAGAAGAAAGACTGAAAGACAGAGAGTGATCAGGGAAAGGGTCCCAAAGAGACTTACTTGTGAGCTCCCTCAGACACTCCCATCTGGATTTGTTTTAGGCCCTTTTTGCTTCCATCCAAAGAGAGAAAGATGTTGACAGAGATTTTATCCTAAATGCCAGCCAAGAAAATAACAACACATTATACTGACCAAACAGAAAACAATTGAGAGAGAGAAGATAAAAATATCTACTGAAAACAACAGCAATGAAATAAAGAATTCATGTGCTTTGACAGCCAAAAAGTGTACAACTCTCACGTGGAAATCAATGAAATCTTAGACTTCACCCCTTCCACTTTTTTACCTGTTCTAGGATGTAAAGAGAAGGGATTTCAGAGAAACTCAGAACTTACAGAATCCATCTGCAGAAACATTTGGGTATTGGAAACATAGAAACTCAATGAAGCAGAAACTTTTTTGGCGTGCGCCATGTGTAGAAGAACAATCAGTGGGAAGATGGAATTCATTTGCTGCTTTTTCGATAAAGATGAAGGGGAAACATCCGACAAGAGCCATATGGGCATAGGGTAGTTAATTAATGGAAAAAGTAAAGTTTTTCTCAGTGTTCGTGTGGGTGGGGGAGTTTCTTGACCAATTGATACAGCAAGTTCTTCTCATTAAGCTATTCATATCCTAACTTCAATTTAGAATCATAATAACATGATTGTTCCTAAAAAATTTCATCAGGAGTTTAAATAATGTAAAGATTTAGGATGAGGATGTCTTGTTTCTTATTTGTTGGGCTATGAGCAGTATTTAATCTCCAGGGAAATCTTAACATAACGTCGAAGGAAATTAAACTGCTAAATCCAAAAGCATGTGATTTCCTTTCATGTATACATAACATATAAGGTTGAACTTAATAACAAGAGAACTCATGGAACCCATTAAAGATTTAGCAGCAGCCTCCGAGTGTTGAAGGAGACAGCCTGTTTCGGCTAAGTTAGTCATTTAACTAGTCGAACAATAACTAAGATCATACGTTCCCAAGCGGTTTTTTTGTGTTTGCACAAAATAAAATTGAGTAGAAAGCCTCAGCTCTCACCTTGAGGGGAAACAATAAGCATAAACGCAAACATCGAATTGCATAAGATTCGATATACAGATTTCTCTCATTGTAGATTCAATATCTCAAGTACCTATAATATGAGTTGTACAAAATAGAAAAATAACATCCAGAACACATATAAAATGGCCTCACCATCCAAGTGAGTGGGTGTCGAGAACGTCGCAATAACCTGTACCTCCTGATTCTGTCTTCATGTCAGATTAATGGTAGCCAAGCCTGAACAATGAGATGGAGTTCAAGTCATTTAAATGCTGACTTTAGAAGAGTGAACAAAATGATATATAGTTATTTAAGTCGTCGACAAAATGAGTCGCACTTTTAAATTCTACTGTTTTTCCTGTTTACAATACAAGGCCAAACAATACATGAAAGAGTCATTCTCCTGATATATCTCTTTGGTAAGGATTCAACATCAGTAAAAGCTCATCTTCAGATTTGATTGTCCATATGCACACCATAGAAGAGGTTTTTCCATCGTTTGTTATTTTCACCGAAGTTGTCGTATTGGTTAGTGACAAATCCAAGTTCGTAACCTATCTCGGGTTTACATAAAAATAGAACGACTTTAGAATATCATAAAGTCAACCAAATATGACTCCATCATCAGAATATCCTAATCCCATAGAATAATTTTAGGACATATTCAATGGGAGGAAGCAGAATTGTAATACCATTCAAGCAGACAGAGAGTTTCAGAAATCCACATACCTCTATCAGATTGAAATGCATAAAAATTAACAAATGGCGAGATGACGAAAGATAAAACAGAGAGGAATAGGACATCGGATCTGAAACGTCAAAAATACAAAACAATATACTTGTCCTTACGCTTGTTAAGAGTAAAACCAAGTCTGGTACCAAAACCTGCCACAAAAAGTTCACTCAAATCATATTGGGCCTACCATCTTCTACGGGTCACTCGAGATGGATGATGTATAGGGAACAAACCAAGAATACTCCTTGCTACATGATCTCAGTCCCTACTGGGTCAACAGAGAAATGAAGAGACACTGTTTTCTGGATGATTGGTTGAAACTTAGACCTCCACATCTACATTTGAAATGAAAACCGATTAGGACATCCACAATAAATACAGTAGCTGTGTTGTCATATTCAAGAAATTTCTCAGATTATTCTGAGAAAAGACATAGCAAGTACATACGCATAATTTGAGGTTAAAACGTTTTCAAATTTTAGTGTTAAAATGTTATCATGGCACAGAACTGAAGTTTTTCATTTTTTTTTACTGATAGTATGTAGAATATGGAGGCAGGAGAAGATATAGGTGTATTGGAGTTCAACAGTGAAGGGAGATATATTAAAGGCATAAGCAGATGGTGTTTTCACTGACAAATCGAGTTAAACAGATAAAACAGATCAGCAAATATGATGACTTAATTGATGGGGTTTCTTACATCTTTGTAATCTGAGCTGCCTGTAAACATCTCGAAGGCTTCGACTGCAAAACATGTTATATTGAGGCAAGACCATTAAAAGACCCGTTATTGAATATAAAAGAACACAACGTCATACAAGTGCTTACTTGACCGAAATCGTATAACAACTCCATGTGTGAACTCCTTACAACTGGGATTAAAATTTAAACCTGATATGAATTCAAAACATAAAAATCCCACTACCTGATATCTGAAAAGAATAACTTATTAGTACAGATTAGCTAAAGACGATCTCATCACATATATTGTGATGCATGTCAATAGTAATTTATATCAAATTCAAAATCGACAGCTATAATAATACATGTTGATGTTCTCTCCAAGTTTCGGAACGAATGATTCGATATAAAAGTATACCTTGTGTAAACTGGACAATTAAAGAAGGGTTATCAATTGCCAGTTGCTCGAGAGAATTTAATGCGTCTTCTAAAGGTTTTCCAAATGAATCTTGAAGAAATTTAATGAGAAGCACAAACTCCACACCATAATTGAACTCCTGACATCAAAACTCTGTGTTACTATATTTTTTTATTAAGTCCATATTTTCAGAGATCATTAGAAGGCATACAACTGATATGAAAAACAGATCTACTTTTCAATACAAATAGCTTGACATAGTCAACATCTCAAAACAACAACTATACAAGACCTCAAATGACATTAAACACAAGAAATCAGGTTTTCAATGCAACAGATAACGGTTTGATGAAACTTAGATAATTTTGATTTAGAGGATTTTATCATTCCAAAAAATTTCTGGCTTCGGGCATTACCCACACGAGCAGTTCCTTCAAACAACGACTCCTAAAATCCACTATTTTCAAAGTAACTTCCTTGAATTTCAAATTTAGTATATGATATATGACAAAGAACATAATAATAAGAGAAGAAAAATCAACAAACCAACTTCAATATGTTTTTCCTTAAAGAAGTCAAGTCAGCAACCCACTTGAGCTCAGTATTTAAAGATTGAGGCTCTCCCCACTCCAAAGATTATGATACTCCCATTCCCCCAAGTCAAAAACAAATTCTCACTCGAAAATCCGCAATTTCAAGCCCTGAGAAATCCAGATATTCAAGAAATAAAAGCTAAAAGGAAATGCATAACATCACACCAACGCAAGCAACATTCATCAAAGAACAAAATAATGACATACATGACAATGGAACATAGAGATCTGCATTTTACACAAATCCTAGGAACAAAGTTAGATAGTGTCCATACCTCTCCTTTCCGAAAAATGGGAAGCATGTCATCTTCCACCTCTGATTCATAATCTACATGAATCAATCCCTGTTATAGACATTGAAACAAATTCATAAGTTGGCCAGATACAGCAAGACAATCTTCCGGGAAAGCAAGACAAAAAGGAAGTTAGATTGAGAGTATTGGTGGTTACATGTTGAGGCATACATGACAATAAGGCATCACATGCTCATTTAGTACTCGCGAGTAGAAAGGGTTCACATAGAATTTTTCAAGGTCTTCCTTTCGTTGGAAACGCATATACACACCATGGGTATAGCTTTCACTATTTTGGCCACAGGCACGTCCTGCACAGGTACAAGAAAAGTAAGCTTCACACAAGATTCTGAACTTCCATAATTTTAGAAAGCAGAAGGCTAGAAATTCACCTAATGAAACGGCAACAATGCCCCGCATTTGATACTGGGTGGTATAGAGATAATCAAGCAGATCGTTCTCTTCTTCTTCTGAAATATTTTCCCTCGCTTTGAGCAGAGAAATGTGTTCGAAAACCTTTCTATGTACAACAGGAAAAAAAAAACTTGTAAATTAAACTATTGGGCAATGCCTCTGAAAGAATAGATCGTGCATAGATTGGAATTCGGTATCAAGTTGTGGTCAAGAGAAATTTCGAAGAGTTGAACCTTTTCTTCCCCGAATTGGTGGTTGGACTGTGCTCCCCCGAAGCCGAAATCCTAGACAATGGTTCATTTCGTCGCCCCATCGGCGCTTTGAGTCCACGTGAATGAGAAACTGTTCGATCAATGCAAAAAAATAAGTAGAAGACTAAGTAAATTCCCAGATGAAGCATTCCCACAACAAATGAAATCAAGCATCTTACCATGGACGGAGAAATGGCGGGAAGTTGAAGGGCTTCTGGGAAGGAAGAAGACATGTGGGTTTGGGGAGTGAGCTTGAATGAGCATTGCGATGGTTAAAGTGTGGAGGTCTCTCTATCTGAAATTGCTTGGGTTAGTCGAGGTTTGAGCCTCAAGATCCGCCATGGACATTGATGAGAAGCTATGGGACACAAAAATGGGTGGACTACGAAAACCGATCATCATAACAACAAATTGGCGCCTTAAGTTTTTGACACTGACCTAACGCCAAGCTCATCAAATCAGGACCCCTTGATTTTGCTACCCGAGAGTTCGTGAAATTTGACTTTTTTGTCCCAAAAATTTGGAGGTTATATGATTTTTTTTTTTTTGGGTCATATATTACTATTAGTAGATCCGAGAGCCCTAATTGATGAATAATAAGATTCTTGATTAGAAGAAAAGGTTTCGAGGATGCCTACTGCCTGCTTGACTAACTTGAAATTGGATTAGGGATGGATTCTTGATTACAAGAAAAGGTTCCGAGGATGCCTACTCGACTAACTTGAAATTGGGTTAGGGATGGTTCCGAGGATGCCTGCTCGACTAACTTGAAATTGGGTTAGGGATGGTTCCGAGGATGCCTGCTCGACTAACTTGAAATTGGGTTAGGGATGGTTCCGAGGATGCCTGCTCGACTAACTTGAAATTGGGTTAAGGATGGTTCCGAGGATGCCAACTCAACTAACTTGAAATTGGGTTAGGGATGGATGCCACAAGTCTAAATCTAGTCAAATTCCTATCGACCATACTTTTTGGTCGCTTCGATTATCAAATAACAAAAAACATACAAGCTCGATCATTTATTTCAATAATTTACTATATCATTCCTCTGTCATATCAAAATTTGTAATATGAAATCAATCCTATAATATAATCCTTTGCACACGAAGAAATCTTGTTGGTTGTTGAACTTGAACGCACCGAACACGAATGGATCAGCAATACAAGGTTCAAGCAAACAGGGCTATGGCAAATGAATGTAATGCACATATTAACTGTTCTAAAATAAAATGAACTTGAAATTATAGAATTTAGAAGTTTGCACAAATGATCAACTTGTAATGTCATATGTCTAGTTGAATGAACCTCTCTCTCTTATATTCAAATTATTCAATTACTTGAAGTAAACGCAGAACATTCACAAAAGGCAATACATCAAACAGTAGGAATGGATGGATGGTTGAATGCTATCTACAGAGTCCTTGGACTACGCATATCAGCCCACAGATGACAGTATAATAAGAGCATATGGTTCTTTAATTCTTGAAGAGCTCCGGAAGATGTGCATTGGTGAGCTTGGTCCTCTTGCTGATCTCTTGCTTCTTTTTCTTCGGCTTTGGTTTCGAGGACGCCACATTTTGTGCATTGGCTCGCCTCTTTGCAGTGTTGGTAGCAGGCTTCATTCCATTCTTCTGCAGATCCTTTTCGACATCGAGCATATCACGAGGTAATTCAATTTCCCGAAACAGTTGCTTCAGATCATCGTCTACTTTGATTTGAATTCGAGGGTCATTTGGGTATGCAATATCTTCTTGTGAATCAAAGTTCGAGAGAAGCCAAACCTGGCCTGAGGCTTTTAGGGCCTAAACAAGAGGGGAAAGGATTATGCAAAGCTAATGGACTGTGTTTTCCATTCATTATATAACCAAAGAAGAGTACATCCATGTGCTTTCCATTCATTAATAAGCAAAGAAGACGGTTCCATCAAAACAAAGTTCATAAAGTTGGGGAGGCCAAAAAACTGGTGATCAACAAGTATGGAAACAGATAGACATACTTTACAAGAAACAACCTCCAAATCAATACCTATAAGTAAAACTCGTGACGTATCAGATAAGTATGGACATAGATATTTACAATAAAAGAACCAAATTCTAACAGAACTTCCATAGTAATCTACTAGTGAAATAAAATAATTACTTCTCTCAATAACTGATAAACTGATCCACAAGCGCAAGGAAAGTTCATCTTTTTTCACTAATATCATGAAGAATGCTTGTACTGTTGATTTTTCAAACATTATTTGGGAAGTTGACATAACTTAAGTCATAATGAATCTCTGAATGCCATACCAAAGTCTTCAAGCTCAATAACATGCTATCTTCAAGTTCTTCATCTTCATACTAGCCTCAAATGTTTTATTCTGGTTACCAAGATCACTTCGAGGAACTGAAGTTGTTGTGACATGGATTTTTAGACCCTACCACCTTTTCTTAGCTTAATGGTACAAGTTTTATACCAAAAGCAATTCTAGTATATCTCTTGTTAGACTGTAGTGTCTCCTTGCATCAACCATAAGAATAATGCTTCCCTTTGGACATTGGTTTCCAAGACTTGTTGTAACTCTTGTTAGACCTTATTCTTTTAGATTGGACTCTTTTTCGTTTGGTTGGTCTCAAATTAGCTCCTCTTATTGGATTGTACTTTTGTTTGCTCTTTGAATTATTTCATGTTTTTCAGTGAAAACTTTGCTCCTCGTTAGAAAATCCATTAGTTTTGACAAGGATTATAAATCATGGGGTTAAATCCTTTGATTTCAATTTTAACTGCTCATAGATAACATTATTCTCTACCGAAGCCCAAATGGAAGCATTAAAGCTCACCAACTCCCAAACCTCCACTCTAGATTTCCCCACATCCCTACAAATTCTACTCCTACGCTCCAACCAAACATCACACAAAATAGCAAGCTTGCCTGACAAAATACTATACGCTTCTCCCTAAAAGGGAAGTGCAAAGCCACCTCTTTCAAAAAAGAACACCCATCCCTATTCCGAGCCCCAATAACCCCTAAAGAACTCTGCCACTGGTCCTAATGGTAATTCACGAACTGGCACTTCCACAACAAGTGACTAGGATCATCATGATCCCTCCTACAGAGAATGCACGATTGCGGAAACAAGGCAAAGGAGAAATGCCTTTGGACACAATCTAAGGTATTGACTCGCCCTAATAAAACCTGCCAAGAAAAAACCTTAACATTTTCTGTAACTTTTATCTTCCGTAAAGGGGAGAAGACTATCGCCTCAAGAGCAGCCGATTAGCCGATTAAGCAGGGGGAGAGGATAAAAGGTTGAAGAAGGAATGACAAGAGAATCATCTATTAGGATCAGGGGACCACCTTCTAATTTCTAACATCCCTCCTCCCAGGGCCGGTCTTGAAGGATAAAAAGAAGATCTATCACCTCAACCTCCTCTCTATCTGATAGAGGGTGACGAAAGTGCAAAAAAGTCAAAGAAGATTGGTCAGTAGATGACAACACTGAAGCCACCCAATGTAACTTCTTATCCGAGAGAAGGTAGAGATGAAGGGAAAAATCACCCAAAGTTTGTCTCCCACAAAACAATAAATGAATTGAGAAAAAGAGGGAAGACTTGAAGATATAGCTTTCCAGAGGAATTTACATTCACCCCTCGACTCCCCACTCGAAGGTCATAACTGTCCGCAAACTAAAGAGGCGAATGATAGACTAAGTCCTTGCACACCCTTATCCACACCAGCCGATACTCATCTACACAAGACATCCACCACCAAGATAAAGAGAAAAGGAGAAAGAGAACCCCCTTGTCTAAGGCCTCTCATTGTTGAAATCTTACCTCTAGGCCTCCCGTTGACAAAAATGAAAAAATTAACTGACCTAATACAATTATACATTTGACCTCTCCATTTAACCCCAAAAAACTTTCTTCCCTAAAGCTTTGTCCAAAAAGTCCCAATCCACATGATCATCAACTTACTCAAAATCAATTTTGAAGATAATCCCCTCTTCTTTCCTTTCCCTATGGTCCTCATAGCTTCATTAGCTATAAGCACTTGGTCTAAAATTTGCCAACCGGCTATAAAGGCACCTTGAGTGTTAGAAATCGTATTAGAAAGGACTCATTTCAATCTTCAAGCTACCAGCCAAGATTTTCACAATAGCCTTAAACAGGAATTGTTGAATGAACAAAGCCTTCTAGTGTACAAGGAGACACTACAGTCTAACCTGGAAGAGAATTAAACAAGCTGACTTGTGAGGTATAACATGACCAAGAACCCAGAACATTGACATGAATAGTTAGCAAGCCATACAGGCATCAATCAGATTTCTGTAGGAAGAAACGAACTTTCTCTAAAATCAGTCTGGAACTGGAGGAATGGAGAGAAGAGAAGAAAAAACGAGGAAAGAAAACACAAGGGTATACTAGCGAAGGACATTGGGGGCTTTCCTCACAGCTAGTTTGGTAAACAAATATTTACTTCTATTTTCGTTTTAAGGCTATTGGGTAACATAAAATCACCATTCAGCAGCTACCAAAGAAAGTTGTTTTTCATAAACTCTCAAAATACCACTTTTATTGGACAAATCAAAACTTAATAACTTAACAACTTTAATTTACACTATGTTTAATATCGTATACAAATAAGAATCCAGGTCTCAACGGACTCTTGCACTAATCGCCAGAGTAATTAGAATTGTAAACTAATTATAATTCCAATTATTGTGCAAAGAAAATACACAGCCTTAAAAGCTCAAAATTTACACAAGACATTTGATGTCCAAAATAGTCAGTACATTAAGCTACACAAAGGTTGTTACCCAAGCAGTTCAAATGAGGAGAGTGTCATCCAAGGGTGATATGTTATTTTCACTTTTTTCGAATTTAAAACGGGGAACGCATATAAAAAAAATTCTCAATTATACGTACTTGCAAATCTTCCATAACGCTTGGATAAGAATCCTTGAGATCAATGACAGCAATGCCTTCTGGAAATTTCCGAATCAAGTAAAGAAGTTGATTCTTATCCTTCAGATCATGCTTGGACTGAATATATCAAAAACAGAAAAAAGAGGAAAAAACGTCATCTTGAACGTTTAAACTTTTAAACCAAACAAGAACAAGTTCATGCAAAGTATACAGGTGCTTGAAAATTTAAATTACCTTGTATGAGAAACGCCTCCCATCATAGTGCACCTTTGGGTTATTCCGCAAACTATCAAAGACAGCTTTGTTGGAATTTATATCAACATAACATGATTCATTGATTTGCTCAGGTGTAAAGGCTTGTCTTGTCTGTTAACATGCACAATAAGCAAGCTGTAAGATTGTAACATACCCCTGAGGTTTGAATTAACTAACAGTAGAGAGTGCATTTCAGGACTTTTTTTAGCTTTTTCACAGCCAATTCAAACCAGAGAGTACGGGAAGGGGATTGGCATGTTCAAATGCATTTTTTTTCACCAACACAAAGTAAGGAAAACGACCACATAAAAGCCATTAAAGAGGATCCTAGCTCCTCTTGCCATCTTAACGGGCAATCACAAGTTTCACTACCTGAAAAAGTACTCAAACCAGCCAAATCTCCCGGTTCAAAAATTGATCATTCAGAAAGACATGTATCGAATTTAGCAAAATTTGGACAGACTAAAAACAAGAAATATGATAAATTTCAGCATAAGGTCTGCTCATTTTGAATCTATCTGTGTCTATTAACATGACATGTTTGGGAGTGACTTTGAGATAGTTAAAAACACTTCTTATATTTTTTTTTAAAAAAAAAAAACACTAAAAACATGTTTTTAATACTTGAAAATTAATTTTGATGTTATGAAAATTACATATTCGTACAAAATCAAACATTAAATTTATTTTGAATTAAAAAAACATGTTTTTAGAGTCCTTTTGATGAACATGGCAAAAGTAATTTTAGCCCTTTTAAAATCACTCCCAAAAACATGCACTAAATCCTACCCTATACAAAGCCTTCCAATGAATTCGATCAAATACAATAGTCCAGGTAAAGCAGATAAGGTATAAGTAAGAAAACAAAAAGGGGGAAATAAGAAAGATGGGCGATAGGTGTGAACCTCCAGAAGCAGGTCAATAACCCTCTTGATCTGAGCCCCGACTGGGGATTTCCTTATGCTGTTAATGTGTTGAAGTCTCTCAGTGTCATTTGAAAATTTTATAGCAGGAGCCGGAGGTCTTGAAGCGGCTGGAGCAGGCGTAAACCTGGGTGTAGTAGTAGTAGTCTTGGATGCAGCAATGCCAGACAAGGTAGTCTGGCATCTTTCTTGCTGTCTCTTAAACCTATCTAGTTTTTCTTGCAACGCCATCGAATCCGAATCCCCTCAGAGTTTCAATTATACCCAACCCTAACAACAAAAACAACGATAGAAATCATCAAAATAGATTCACCCATGAAAATCAATACGACGGGCATCGCATCAAGTCCAACCAACAATTGAAAATACGCAAAAAAGAAAAGGGTAGTAACTAGAATACCACAAATTGCATCGGTTAAAGAGAACAGAATCGACCGCCGTGGATAAGACGACGGTGGATCGCGGGACGATGTTTAACAATCTGTAGTATACGTAATGGAATGGTTCGCCTCTGTGCAGCTATGGAGATCGAGAAGAAGGAAGATGGAGGCTAGAATTGGGAAAGCGCGCGAGAGAGAGATATGGGGGATGTGTGCTTCGAGGAAGGTTAAAACGGGTTCGAACCGACGAATTTCCATCGCTGACCAAACCCAAATTCCAACCCGGGTTCGAACCCTATCCGTTGGGATAAAATGTCTCCATTTTTTATTATTATTATAATTATTATTATTCGATGAATGAAAAAAGTTATATATATTTAATTTATAAATTTGAATTCCCTTTTTACTTTTTTTTTTTTAGTTCAATAATTACAAAAATGAAAAATAAAATTATCTATAAAACTATATCTGATATTTTCTTAATTATTTATATTTACAATTTAAATATATCTGATATTTTCTTTATTATTTATATTTACCATTTATGGTAAATAAATCATGGTTCTAATTTTTAGTCCTTAAAGACTAATTCAGTTTTAATTTCTATATTTTCTTCGATTTAACTTATTTGAATCCTATAAATATCAAACTAACAATAAATAAATAAATAAATATATATATATAATATAGCAGCACCGGTCTATGCTTTCTTTGCTGGAGTTCTTTTTTTCCTTTATGGAGTTAATTGTTTGGTAGCTCGCTGCATGACTTTATGAATGTTAAACCCTGAGGGAGTTGAAGAAAGGTTAAACCCTGAGGGAGTTGAAGAAAGGTCCTGAGGGAGTTGAAGAAAGGTTAAACCCTGAGGGAGTTGAAGAAAGGTCCCGGTTAAAGCAAGTCATGCCACTTTTCAATATGATGAACCCTAACCCTTCCTTTGGCGTCTTCCCTTTGGCGTCTTCCCATCAGAGTTGAAGAAAGGTCCTGTCTTCCAATCAGTCTTTCTTTCGTACTCCCCTCTTTCTCCCCTTCGGTTAAAGCAAGTCATGCCACTTTTCAATATGATGAACCCCGACCCTTCCTACGGCTTCTTTCTTTCAAGTTCATAGAATTATATGAGCTATTAAATAATCAGCAATCTTAATAAAAATAAAATGTATAAAAATTGCAGTTTAATTAAAAAGAATCTGCTAAAAACAGTAATAAAAGACGCTCAAAGGGGAAGAACAAAATTTATACTTGCAAAGTAGTGGTGTTTTAAGTCAACTTCAATTTGCACAATGAAAATTTGACATTAATAAGATTCCCAAAGCTAAATGAAAGGGGGGAAAAATGCTAATGAACTCTTCAGTCAAGCTGCTGCTATAACTCTTTCCACTGAAAATTCATTAAACTGCTTCTAAGATCATGCTTTTCATGGAAGGTTTGAGCTTGCTGCACCTCCTCCGCCATAACTACCAGCTCCACGGCCAAAACCTGGCCTTCCACCAGGACCCTGAGAAATTTTTAGGGTAGGACAACAATCAACATAACCGTGTCAAACTTCTTCTATGAACAACCGAACTTTCATTAAGATCGCATCAAGGTCTATCATAAACTTCACATTCATTCAAAATAACTTCTACAACGACCATATAATACCGTAATGAACCAAACTTTCATTAAGATCAAATCAAGGTCTATGATGAAGTTCAAATTCATTCAAAATAACTTCCCAACCATATAATACCGTAATCTGAATGCCATTTTGCATCAGGATGTCGTTCCCAGGACCAAAAAAACCCAGTTTTTATAACATCACTAACATTTCAGCTACCCATTTTTTATTACAAGTATTCTTCTGTGGATAAGGAGCAATTCTCGCCACTAGACTCTATGTTCACCTAAAACCTCAATGGAGACCAACTTTGTAAAAGCCCAAACTCACCACTAACAAACATTGTCTCCTTTGGGCTTTCTCTTTCCCCTCAAGGTTTTAAAATGCGTTTGTTAAGGAGAGGTTTCCACACCCTTATAAGGTATGTTTCGTTCTCCTCTCCAACTGATGTGGGATGTCACAAACTTATCCCTAGAAAATAGAAAATCATTATATTGCTAGTGAACAGAGACAAAGACATGCAAAAGCCAAAGATCACTACTATTAAACATTTAAATCTGAGTTATTAACTGCGCAGACAAACTGATTAGGAAGAACTTATGGAGGAAAGCATCAACAGATGAAGAGACTAATCTATAACAATAAGATGTAATCTAATCTACTAGAGAATCTCAAAACCATTTTACCATGCACAACGCTGCTACCTAAATAAAAGTCTAACTATATACATGAACATTGTTTTGCTTTTAATAGCGTTGTATAATAACCACCCCAAGGCTAGAACAGAAGCAGTAAAAAAACAGCATTTTTATGTGGAGATCATCAACTATATTTCGGATAGCACGATTATATAAAAAAAAAATTACCCCAAAAGAAGGCCTGTAATCTGCAGGAGCTCCTCCCTTGTCACCCCCAAACTCGCCAGCAGGTCCACGAGGACCACCACGGTAACCATCGCGGTCACCAAACCTCCTCTCACCACCCTCAAAACGAGGCGGACCCCTAATTCATAAGAACCACCACAACTCGATCAGAATGCTGAAAATAATAAATACAGCTTGCAAAATAACAAAACATGTGCAAATTACACAAACAGCTACACAAATAGGCATCCATCTATAAATCACACAATATGAATACAATCCGTAGTTCAAAAACACAGATCAATCAGCAATAAACCGCAATGAACTGATCAGCATTAAAGATATAATCTATACCGTGGGCGATCACCAGGTGGTCCACCAAAGGGCCTACCAGCGGGCTTAGCTTGTTTCTTCAAGGTAGCAGGGACAATTTCAGAAGGAAGATTGAGGTAAGTTCTGAGGAACTCAATGCCATCGTTGGTGAGGTACCAGTAGTAATGCATCCATGCAAATGTCTCGCGCACATATTCCTTGGACTTGAAGCTCTGCATCAGCTTAATAACCTGCAAATTAGGCACATCGATTTCTGGGTGCTTGGCCAAATTGTAGTCCTTCTTGGCAAAACAAACCCCCTCTGAAATCATAACAATACAAATAAATAAAATCACACAATCATCCTCGAATCAGAAAACTGAAAATAAAAACGCTAGCTTAAGAGTGATCGAGTTTGGTTATACCTTGAAAGAGATACTTGGAGATCTCCCTGCGGTTCTTCTCTGAAATAATCTGAATAACAGAATCAACTGAAAAATGAGAGGCCGAACACTAAACCCTAAACTAAAATATCGCCTTCTCAGACGAATTCAAAACTAAACCACGACAAAAATTCAAACTACACAATTGGGTAACAATTCCAACTCCCAGATCGATTCCTTTTGAAATACCCCATTACTCTAAAACCCAGAGAACTGAAACAAACACAAATTAGACGCAGTGATAGAGAAGAAATTAGAAGAAGAAGAGAGGTACCATGGTTGAAATTCAGCAAGAAGTGAAGACAGCAGCAGCCGAGGCAAGAGGCGAGAAGAATGAGGAGCAGGAGCAGGAGCAGGAGCCGCCGTGAAAAGAGATGGAGCAGGAGCAGCCTGAAAAGCTTCTAGGGTTTGTGGGTGTTAAGTGGGCCGCTGGGCTGCGTTGGCTTGGGCCTCTGGCCCATGTAGAATTAGCTGGATCGGGTACGGGAGGGACAAAGTAGGAGATGGGCACCCAGATATCCGCACCGACACGTGTCTAGGTTAAATTTCGAATTTTATTCCATGCTGTAATTTACCGTTTATAATAATTTTCTATTTAATTTTATATGGACAAAGCTAATAGCCATTAAAAATTATTCCTCATTATTATTATTTTAAAATATGTATTAAATAAAGTAAAGTAATTTTGTTTAAAAAAATTATATTTGAGTGGGGTAATTCTTCCAATTTCCTTAAAAAAATCATAAAAATTTTATTTATATATTAAAAATAAATAAAATGAGGTAGGTTCTCGTCTTCTGTATCGGTACTTTATGAATAAGTTTATACACGGGTTAGGTTGAACAAATTTCATGAACCAATTCAAATTTTTGAATTGGTACGGTCGACCCAAAAAACTCGAATAGAGTTCACAACTCAATCAAACTCTTTTATCTCTATTTTTGGATTGTGTTCGGTTGTCAGGATTTTTTTTTAAATAAAATTATACTTATTCACAACAAATATTATATAATAACTAAAATCCGATAAAATTACTATAAATATTTTAATTTTTAAAAAAACATTACAATGTTAATATTTTTAGGCCAACCGTCCATATGACAATGTCAATAATACTAACATGCATCCACTTTCTCTATTGTCGGCTTTATGTTTTTTTTTTTTTTCTGTTTTTTTTTTATTTTTAAACTAACTCTCCACCACCAATTATTTCCCTCGTATCTCCCAAAAATTCACTCCCAATATTCATTTGGATATTTTTGAAATATTGATAATGATACACACTCTCTCAATTAAATTTAATATTAATTACAGTAAATAATAACAATTTTAAATTTAATTCTTAATATTGAACTTTCCAGATATATTATATAGTACTGCAAATACTATGAATATTTAGATTAAACGAACTTTTTAAAAAATTTAATTCGTGGTAGTTAATGGCATCTGAGAATTTGTAAAATAATTTAACCTAATTAAATATTTTAATGTAATTACAAGTAGTTTGTTATGAATTTTTAAATTTGTATGCAGAAGATTTCAAAATTTTAAAATAAACAAATTATTATTAATTTTTGTATAGTTGATAATTAAAGTTTTATTTTCTATGAAATTAAATTTTATGTTTAATACGTAAATTAAAAAAATGTAGAAAAATTAAATATGTATGAGATGAATAGATATTAAATATATATGAATATAAAAAGTTAGGACTAAATTTGTATTTAATTTAATATATATATATTTAAATTAATTGTTATTTGGTTATTGTTATACGCGTTTGCTGACAAAGGATGTGTGACGTATTAGTTTAAGCCTTTCACAATCCTAAATTAAATATTATTCTAAATTAAAAATACCTTAAATTAGAATCCTGTTTTTTCATACTAAAAATAATATGGAAATACAATTTAAAAAAAGTTTTAAAAAAATATATATTATACATTCCATAAATTATAAAATATATTAATTAGATAAAATTACAAAAAAAATTAAATTTATTTTG